ATGTGGCAATACAGTCCTGCCTCAGATTTATCAAGTACCCGGTGGATAGGTGTTAAAGGCTTCCAAACACGTTAATGTGTTCAACGCCCACGTTAATCCTATGAGGTGTGATTAGTGCCCATTTTACAGATGAAAATGCTTCGAATTCAGAGTGTTTAACTGACCTGCCCAAGACTACAAAGCCTATCAGTAGCCACATGAGACTAGACAGTCTTCCACTTGACCATACCGATGTGATGAAGTAAACACCCTTAATAAAAAAAATTCAGAGGAAAGAGGAGTACAGTGGTGCTATGCTAATTCACCAGCAGTTGCTGATGAGATCTTGAACTGAAGATAATGCCAAAGCTTACTTCCATGTAGCCACTCTCTCTCTATTCTTGACTCAGACAGCCTGAGTTTGAAGCCTAGCTCCAGGACCTTGGACAGATGCACCTAACTTCTCTAGACCTCAGTTAATTCATCAGTAATATGGGGATGCCAATAATGCCTGTTTCATAGGGTTGCCCTGAAGATGCCATGAGGCTCCTCACACATGCCTGACACATAATGAACTCCATGGCCCCTTGAACAAACGTTAGCTGAACACCACTGTTTCTCAACCTTAGCACCAAAGACAGTCTGGGCTGGATAATTCTTTGCTTGGAGGACTTTCCTATGCAAATGTGGGATGTTTTGCTACATCCCTGGCCTTTACTCACTAGGTACCATAGCATCTCCTCTAGTGGTGACAACCAAAATGTCTCCAGGCATTATCAAATATCCCCTGGGGGACAGAGGGAGTACTGCTATGATATGACACCCCAAAACTGCCCAGTCCAGTACGGTAGGTAGTCACTAGCCACATAAGGCTATTGAGCACTTGAAACGTAGCTAGTGTCACAGAGTGAAATCATAGTCTGATATACTGGGTTAAATAAGATATATTATTAAAATAATCTCACGTGTTTCTTTTAACTCATGTCTTTACTAGGGCCACGAGAAGCGTAAAAATGACAACTGTGGTTTGCGTTAGACTTCTGTTGGACAGCGCTGTGCTAAAGGCATCAATCCCAACTGCTAGGAAGACCACTTCTGATGGTTATCTCAAGCTCGGACCCTTATTTCTACTTGGCCGTCAGGCACCTCAATTGTCTAACGGCTCTGTGTCAGGGTGAGCAGAGTTGCCACAAAACTCATCGTCTTTCCTCCACGCCACCTCAAGTCAATGGAGTCACCTTCATCCTGCCGGGTGATCAAAGCTTGAAGACCTGAGGTTACTCTCAGCTCATCTCTTCCACTCATCCCCTCCCTCCCGACCGAAGTACAGTATTCAATTTCCCAGTCTTTCTAAATCTGAAAAGGGACTAACCAAAGCTCGTGTTTACAGAGAAAAACTGGAAATGACCTAATTGCCAATAATAGGGGCCTGGTGAGTAAATAACAGCCCATCTCAATGATGCAACACCATGCGGCGATTAGAATCACAGGTAAGAATATTTAATAGCACAAAACACATTTAGGATGCACACGCAGAAGGGAATAGATTAGGACACAGTATAAAAACATGATCTTATTTTTGTAACAAAAATGTATCCATCGCTACTCACCTAGATGCATGCATAAAAAAAGGCTAGATCTCTTATATGGCAGTTTATTGATGGCTGGTGAGAACACGGATGAATTTTAGTTTGATTGTGTGGTGTGCTCTGCTCCCAAGTTTTACAATGAACACTTATTACTCCTATAATAAGAAAAGAAAAAGTGGATGTTCCCCTCTTCACTGTTTCGAGGTATAATCCCCGTCCCACTCATGGATTGTTGTAGTGACAGCATTACGTTTGTGAAACCTTTTAAAAATAGGGGCTGATAAATGTCACCCAGGTATTGGAATCTGGTGGTCAACAAAGATGCTCTCACTCAGAGGACATCCACAATTCCTGGAGACGTTTTGGTTGCCACAACTGGAAGAGGCATGTAGTGGGGCAAAGCCAGGGATGTGGCTTAACATCTTCCGATTGGCAAGAAATAGCTCCCCCAAGCAAAGAGCAATCCATCCCCAAATGCCAAGAGTTGAGATCACTATTGATCAGTATCACTGCTGAGAGACTGTAGTCTATAGCTAACCCTTGGTCAAGGGGGCTTGGACCACGTGGCCAAACAAAGAAGTAGTTACACATGAGCTACAAGCCTGCTCAGATCCTCCAAGTGTCTCTGACTGCATCTGCCTGACACCAAAAATCCCAATTAAAATCAAAACTAGATGACTTATCCAATTACTAACTTGCGTGAGGCTAGACAATCTGCCTGGAATCGCGTGGTCACCCACAGGCAAGATAGTGAAAGGGGAGTAAACAGGAATTGCCTTTTCACACTGAGAGGCGATGTCTGGGCGCGTGCAAGGCTGGGAGGGCAGAGCCATCTGCCGAGAGCGGCCCTGCTGGACCTGTTTTGTCGAGAGTCTACAGTTTTGAACACGGTTTGTCTGACGCCCTTCACAAGAACTATATTAACTTGCATTCATTTGAAATTCATCATTTCCGAAGAGATATGAGACACTGGAGGCTTGGTTTCCAGGATTTTAAATGTCAGGCATCCAAAATGTGTGGTGGGCACACAGCAGCTGGAAGGCGATGTTTTTGAAATTTATCTACAAACAGAAGCAGCTCCCCGAGCCGGGCTTTAAAAAAAAAAAAAAAAAAAGCATTCCTTGGAACACACACGACCAGAACCCTGATGGGCATCCTGCTTCCAAAGACAGAAGAGCTCAAGTGAAAGAGGAAGTGTTCATTCTCGGGCTGACCTCTCAAAAGTGCGAGACAAGCCAACGTTGAGCAGAAGTGTGCACCCAAAAAGGAATCTTCCTTCCACGCTTGAGGAAAAATTAAATGTCGGGCCCCAGCCACACCGGCCTCCTTGCTGGTCCTCAGACATTCCCAGGACACTCTGGACTCATGGCTTGTGCCTGGGGTGGTCCTTCTAGAATGTTCCTCCCCCAGATAACCACGTGGCTCCCACGCATAGCCCCTTATGTCTCCCTTCCCTTCACGATGAGGCCTGCCCTGACTCTACTCTTCGATACTGTGACCTAACCCACACCCCTCCCCCCGCCAGCATTCTCCCCTCCTTACCCCATTCTGACTTTTCCTTTTCGTAACACACTACACAATCACATTTATCATGTATGTCATTTATTGTCTCTTCCTTTGAAGAATACAAGTTCCAGGAAGGCAGGACTCGTTTTAGTCACTGGTGGATCCCAAGCTCCGAGAAAGGGGCCAAGGAATTTACTGAGCATCTTCTCTGGGCTCAGTGTGATACTCACTGGCGGAGGAAGGACTCAGCACAGGCGCCTACTGCCGCGTGTAAGGAAATGACAAGCCAAGTGAGTGAAGGCAAGTATCCGGGAGGCAAAGGTGACTAGAAGATGCTTAGACCAGCTTGAGTTGGTGTCTGTTGCTTGCAACCAACAGGCATCTGAGCAGTAAGACCCCCACTATCATTGCTGGTTCTCAAGGACTACTGCGGGAATCTGGGGAGAGGGTGAACGTGAGGGTGGGTTGGAGCCAAGGCTTTGTGGAGGAACCATGCGTTCTCAGGCCGTGGAACAGCCTGGGAGAGCACCAGCCTCCCGTTGAATGCCCGGATCTCCACCTCCATTGCACCACCCAGCACTTGATGAGCTCACGTGACCCACTCCTCTGAACCTGCTCCAAGTCAGCACTGCCCCTTGAGACGTCCGGTGCCCAGAATGGAAACGCAGAATTGCAGGCAGAGTCTGGCCATCACCACTCTGGGGCTACAAAAGGTACCTCATTAATGCAGCCTGCACGGCATACCTGCAGCTGCAAGTACCCTTCACCAGCGCCAAGAAGATCTGCCCAGAACACTGAAAGGATTCACTGAACAGAGCAGACAGGTGAGACCCTTTCCTTCGAGGAAAATGCAGCAGAGGCACAGGAATAAGCTCAGAGCCTGGGCTGAGGACCGTATGCCAGAAAGCCACAAAGCAGCAGGACCCCAAACATCAGGAGAGCTGAGGCCAAGAGCTTGGAGGCCAAGGGCTCAGATGCAGCAGTGGGGGCTAGGCAGGTGGTTTCAGCCCCTGAGCATCAGTTCCCTCCCTGTCACATGGGAATTTTCACTGCGGTTACCCCCTAGGGTTAAATGAGATAATACACACAAAGCCAGAAGCTCAGAGTGAGCACCACCTATGACCAGCTCTTCCTGTGATCATCACGGTGGGGTGGGAGGGGGGGTCTGTGGTAGGAAGCTTAAGAGATAAAAGCTACATTTTAGGGAAAATAACCAGACAAGTATAAAGAAGAATTGAGGAAGAACTGTCAGATGAGAAATGGTGGGAGATGTGAGTGACAAGGGTGGCCATGACCGTGGGGGGAGGGAGGGGTGGAACTAGAACAGAGGTTGGGGACAGATTCGATGTTAAAGCTGAAGGAAAGCACAGAGTTTGGAGAAACAGCAACGCCAAGATTCCTTCCATCCCCTCTGTTCCAAAGCATATCAGCATATTAGCTCATTATCACCCTAGTCTGGCTCCTTCAGCAGGTGAGCGGCATAAAAGAAGAAAGCTACCCTGTGTGTGGCCAGGTTCCTGCCTGGCAACCAGCAGGTGCTCCGTAAATGCTGTTGCGTGGATGCTGGAATGATTCATATATCTGTGTGCGCATATATTCATGTATGCATGTGTATATAATACATATGTATAAAAACACACATAACCATGTACTATATATAGTTAGCATTTATACATATATACATACAAAAATACATATTTCACTTTCAAAAGGATTTGAAGCTGTTTGTAACAAAAATACACACATGGGATGGGACAAAACAAATTAAAAGAGAGTATAAAGGTTCTGCTTTTAGGAAAAAGTAATGTGCCAGGAAGCTCCCTCCTTTGGTGACAGCGTGTATTTCTGAGCTTCCCACTGGCCAAGGTGATAAAGGAAATCCACTGTGTTACTAATTCCGTTGCTCCACCAGTAAGCCTGCAAATTAATCCGGAAGAACAAATGTTATCTTGAAAACATCCGGGGCACACATAACTCAGCTCTTTGCATGAGGCATATTTGGGCAGGATGGTGAGCAACTTCACCAAGAGTTTCAAAAACTACAAAAATGGTCTGAAATTTGATTTCGTTTTTATATCAAAATCTCTACAACTCAAGGGTATCGCAGGAAATGAAACCTCGGCATCAGCCATTTTTTCCCCTGATCATGGTATTTTTAAAAATCTTGAACTGGATGCATTTCCCTTGCTGCTGCCTGTGATTTGAAGCTCGCGGGCACAGGTCATCGCCCCACTGAATGCCAGCTGACAACGCCCTTCCCCGGAGGAAGCTTGAGACCTTTTCCCACCCTTCATTTTCAGTGTGCCTGGGGGCCCACCTTCAGTTACTAGAGTGAGCAGCACCTCACTGGGTGCAGATAGGCAACCCCGTATATCCCGGTGTGTCCGTGCATCCAGGACAAAATTTGTCAGGCACTGAATATAACAAACATTGGATAAGATCTACCACTGACCTTCTATTGCTTTGTGGACTCTTTTGTGGTCTCATTCGGTAGTCAACCACACTGCTGATCTCCAGCGAGGTGGCACAGGCACCTGGGGTGCCCAGTGCTTGGGGCAGGGGGACCTCTGTGCCCTCAGCTCGCTCACCGTCTAGACCGAGATGGGCAGAACGTACAGGAACACTTGCTCAACAGAGGTGCAGGCGAAGCCCCGTGGGTGCTCCTAGGGGTAACACGATACCCCACAAGGACCGCTCATCTTCCTGCAGATGCCTATGAACGAATACAAAGGTCATGCCCACCCGCAAGCTCGCCCACTGACAGGAGATGTCTCCACAGGCTGGAATGCCACCTCGTGTAGTAGAATTAAAAGAAATAGCAAAAAAGTCCTTGCCCCCCTCCCTTGAAAATCAGAAACCCAGACAGCATAAATAATGACAAGGAGTGTCTTTCAGGCACCAATGACAAGTGGGGAAATTGTGCTCCCAACAAAGGAAGCGTACAATGGCAAGCCCTCGGATGAATAGGGACAGCGTCTGTCTGACTTTGTACAGCACGCCACAGACTGCCAAGTACCTGTGGGTGCTTAATAAGTACCTTTGACGGATGATGAATGCCATCATTATTAAATCTGCCATTATATTTTTTAGTGAATGAACCTTCCTTATCAATCTTTATAACCACGATTTCAATGGTATTAATTCAGTCATTTCCCATACCAAGTGCTTTGCTAAATTCGAGTCCTCAAGCCTTGTCAAAAAACAATGCGTTTGGTTTTTGCAATGTCACATGCCAGTATCCAAGGAAATTTAACTTAGATGCTATCTGCTCCAATGGTTATAGCAGAATGTGGCTCCTAAAGAAGATAAAAGAATTCTTTTCCAGCTTGTGATCTACAGCAGTACCTTTAGTGGAGACTCCTTTCAACATGTGAGTGATTTTAGCAATACATGATTTTGGAACACAAAGAGCCATTGTTTCTAGGAGTGGCTGCTTAAAACGTAAATACTTGGATATTGCTTGTGAACTGTCATCATTTCCATCTTATTTTTTTTACCACTCCCCACATAAACCAGGGTGGGCACAAAACTGAAAAACACAGATGCCTTGTCATAAGCACAAAACAGGGCCCTTCCAATTCTCCTGGTCACTTTCCAGTCGAGCTACCTCGTTAGCTTTCCGAGTCAAGCTGAGGACCCTTCTCAATCCAGCCCAAATAATCTCTTTCTCCCCCGAAACTATACCACCTATTATTTTTAGCATTCATTTGTCAAAATACAAGAAGTCCTCTCTTCCTCTCCCCCCTCCTCCCTCCCTCCTCCCCTCCTCCTTCCGTCTCCCTCCATGGTCCTTCTTTTCCCCAGAGAAGGAAAAGGAGACCAACTGGGTAAGCATACATCAGGCTCAACATTCAGCAAGATGAACGGGGATAAGGCTGAGTCCTCCCAGCAAAGTGCTCACTGTTGCATGGGGAAGACAGAGCATCAGGCGAAGTCTAATCCTACGTGAGGGGAGCCAAAACAGGCTGAGCGGAGTGCCAGGGAACGGGGCGTGGGGCGTCATCAGTTGTCGGGGGACTTGGGGAGAAGGGGCATTTGAAGGCGGTGGCAGAGAGAGGGGGTGGAGGAAGCCTGCGGAGATGGAGCAGAAAGCGCAGTTAACGAGGACGTGGGGGTAATCAGGGCACAGTGTTTTCGGGAAAGAGTAAGAGCCCAGCTGGGCTCCAGAGAGCACTGGGGCCAAAGGTGGGACCTGGTCAGGTTATGAAGGGGGTTACATCCCATGCTGAAAGTCTGTTACTTGGTACAAACTTATACACCGTGTGGCTCCTAGTAGGTGCTTTGCTTGGAACACATGCACACAATGCGTGGCTCGTAGTAGATGCTCGCTGTTCAGAACACAGGGAGTCGTGAAATATATTTGAGCCCCACAGTGGCATAACGGGGGCAGAGCCAGGCATCATGAAGCCTAAAGCTTAAAGTAGTTCAGGGGGAGTGTGGGCGGCCAGGTAGGGGGTATAGGAAGCCTGGGTGGTTCAGTCGGTTAAGCGTCTGCCTTCGGCTCAGGTCATGATCCCAGGGTCCTGGGATCGAGTCCCGCATCGGGCTCCTTGCTCAATGGGGAGTCTGCTTCTCCCTCAGTTTGCTGCTTCCCCTGCTTGTGCTCTCTCTCTCTCCGACAAATAAATAAATACAATCTTAAAAAAATAAAGTATTTGGGGGGAGGTCTCTAGGAAAATGAATTTTTAAATTTTATTTATTAATTTTTTGAGAGAGAGAGAGAGAGAGAGAATGCATGCAAGTAGGGGGAAGGATGGAGGGGCAGAGGGAGAGAGAGACTCTTATTAGGCAGGCTCCTCGCCCATATGGAGCCCAACACAGGGCTCGATCTCATCACCCTGAGATCATGATCTGAGCCAAAATCAAGACTCAGACGCTTAACCTACTGAGTCACGCTGGCGCCCCTAGGAAAATGAATTTAAAAACATACGACCCCATGAAGATGTTGAAGGAGCCTGTGCCAATGAATGCCCCCCCCCACATCGGGCTCCCTGCTCAGCGAGGAGCCTGCTTCTCCCTCTCCCTCTACCTGCTTCTCCCCCGGCTTGTGTTCTTTCTCTGTCAAGTAAATAAATAAAATCTTAAAAAAAAAAATCCGGATGCAGTCGAGGACAACAGTGCTACAACAGAGAGGGTAAAGGGGCATGAGGGGGGGATGCAGCTAATCCCGGGGGTCAGGGAGGGCTGCAAAACAGAAGGCTTGAGCTGAGTGTTAAAGAATCAACAGAAGTTCACCAAGCAGACGAAGAGGAAGGAAAAGCATTCAAGACAGAGGGAACAGCAAGTGCAAAGAGAAAATTCTAAAAAAACCACAGCCTGTGGTTTCATGCTCTGGCAAAGCCACCTAAATAGGCCATCACTTGTACCTGTGAGGGGACAGGCATGTGGGACCTTTTTGGAGCAATTCCTCCAGGCGACAATTAAGAGATCCAGCAGGGAACTGTGGCAATGAGGAAGTGAATGGGGCGGATGTTTCCTTTGAGTACAATTCTTCAGGAGCCCAAATGAGGCTAACAAAAGAGAAATTACACACAATGCTGTGTCATGGCACTTTGACATACGTGTCAACTTAGAATTTCAAATAAAATTAGAAGATTCTTCTAATAATTATATAGGATGGCAAATAAGGTCCAGGGGCAGGCACATGTGGCAAGAAGTGACTAATCATATTTTGCAAAAAAGCATCTGGGGCTGACCCTTCTTGGGATAATACCGCGGGGAAGTCAGACCAGAGGAAAGGTTGCCAGTGGTTAATGTTAAATAGTAATCCATCCACCACGCACCCGCTCCTCCATATTCATAGACAACTACCCCCATCCATATTCATTACCCTATAAAGAGTTCTAAAGTAGCAAATGCAAGCTTGGAAGATTTCAGTTCTAATAAAAGTGTTTCCGGTGACGGACGCCACAGTCTTCCCCCACCAACCTCAAAATTAAAGTCAACTAATAAAGGAGGCTGGCAGGTGGTAGGGCTGGGACATGCCCGGTCTTCCTCCAAACAGCAAGAAATGCCTCCGTCCATCGGGTGCTGGCCGGGTGCCAGGCACTGTGCCCAAGAGGTTCCAAGTGCAAGTGCGGGCTCTGGGCTCAGATAGCCTGGGTTGGAATCCCACCTCCACGGCTTAAGTCACGGGGCCAAGCTATACCAACACACTGTGGCCCTGTTTCTCCTATCTCAACTGCCCTTAACAGGTTGTACCTCAAATGAGACCATCCAGGCAGCCACACCTTTGGCCCCATGCTTGTCAGAGGGACAGAGGGCTCAGCAACATAAGAGTCTTGGTGATTCTTGTCTGGTGCTTTAACACACAATCAGGTGCCCTCGGCCCCGCTGTAGAGACGAGAAAAGGCACAGTAACGCGCACAAAGTGGTTCAGCCAGCCAACAGCTGCAGGTGGGTCTGCTCCCCCCCATGGCGCACCATGCCGTTCAACATGAGGCTTTGGAAGTTCTTGAGGAACTGAGATGTATGTAGGGACGTGCACCCTGTTCCGCCACCAGTCTCAGTAAATGTCCAAAGGCTTCGGACTTCATTGTAGAAGTAGCTTCTGAAAAGAACAGAACGGAGTTAAAACTCTTCCAAGAATAGAGGTAACTTCGAACATCCCCTCTGCCAGGCACGGTGGGGTTTTGGCTTTTCATTTTTAATTTAATTTTGGCTTTTCTGTGAGATCCCTTCATTCTTCCACGTGTATTGCACACCTACATTCATCATAGCTGGCCTTACCTGTATCGCTTAAAACTGGGTGATTTCCAGGTTTTCAAAGGGCCCACAAACGCATGAGCATCTGCTGCCCTCATAACAACCCAGGTAAGTGTGTAGTATTGTTGTGTGTGTGTGTGTGTGTGTGTGTGTGTGTCTCAATTTCACAGAAAAGAAAACAGAGACAAGAAAAGTTAAGGAGTTGGCCTAAAAAGTCACAAGACAGTGGGAGATTATCAATCCAGGATTTTTGACCTGGGGAAGGGTGAGCCTCTAAATTCTGCTTCGGAGCCTGGCAGGGGATTTGGGGAAGATCCTATGGAGCGATTGTGGCGGTGCTAGTTAAAGTCGAGCTAGAGTAGACAGCCTTAAAACGTTTTCTATCCTACATTCTCTAAAGATCCCAAGGGCACATTGTCTGTTTGGCTATGAAGCCTGACCTGTGGACAAGTGGGAGGTGGTGCAGGATAGAGGTGCAGGCTCATTGCTAGAATCACAGGAGGCTGCCTGAAACTGTAGAGCTCAGTACAGGGAGGAGAGCTTTGTGGCCCCCTGGGATCATCAGGCTAGAAATATATATATATATATATACTAAAGACAACTGAAACAAAGGTCTAGGCATCGTGGGAAGGACATACTGAGGACCCAGGACACTGACCTTTCTCTCCAAGTGGTGTTTGCCAGGGTGAAGTAAATCCCGGCCAACAACTCGCTCCCCTCCTCACCCACACCTCCCAGATTTAGACGGAGGAGGGAGAATTTAATTCACTTTCACCTGAAATGAAACCCACCCCCGTTGCAGAGTGGGTGGGAAGGCAGGAAGCCGCGATTGCCCCGAGATAAAGTACAAGCAGTGGCACTGGCAGATATTGATCTGGAGACGCTTCTCCTTTGTCATCTCCCCTGCGGCCGGCCCGGGCGTCCCTGCAGCGGCCAGAACGCCACCGGCATCTGCGCCCGCGAGCGCGCACCTGCACCTGGCCCGGCGCCCGAGATGGGGACAGATTAGGGGCGCGCAAGGCGGAAGGGCGGATTCGGAAAGGAAACGCAAGAAGGGTGAAAAATGGTATTGAATTCAGCTCAACACGCGGGAGAATAAAAACACACCTCGCTCAGAAACAGAACACAACAAAAAAGAACTCCAGGGCCTCTGGCCACGGCTGTGCCCCAGTCAGGCGCACAGGCCTGCAGTTCCGGGCCAGCCTCGGCGTCCCCCCACCCCCACACGCCACCCCCGGTGGCAGGGTCCCCAGGGCGGACGTGCGCCCGCCCCACCCCCACTTCCCGGCAACTCCGGGTCTGGAGACCCGGACTGAGTGGAGAGGAGAAAGAATCTGGTCAAAACAGGCTGCTCTAAAGAGAGAGAGAAACGTTCGTAGTTGGGAAGTTCTCCAATCTGGGCAGATTTCGAAGGCGCGCAGGGGCGCTTCCCGGGCAGCTGGCCTGAGCGGGTGGGTTCTGTCCGTCTGGGCTGTCAGCGCAGGACCCGCGCGGCCCCTCGGGTGTCACCCCCCAACCGGCAAGGCGGCCTGGCGCTTGTTCGCGTTTGCAAACCCCGGCGGGGGAAGAGAAGGACTGCCCCCTGTCCAGGGGACCAAGCCCCTCTGGGGGTGGCTGCTGGCGCTCCCCACTGGCACTGCCCGGGTGGCTGAGGCCGCCAAGCCGATACAGCCTCGGGGCCGCGCCTCCGGAATCCTGCGTACTTCCGCTCCGGGGAGGGCGCGCCACCCTGGCCCAGCCTGGCCGTCCCCACGTCCCCACGCTGCAGGGTTGACCCGGGTGAGCGCCCTCGTCCCCACGGTTCCGCCCCGCCTGGCCTCCTTTGTTTTTGTGCGTTTTTTGGTTTTGGTTTTGGTTTTTTTTTTTTCTTAATGCATTGTTCTTGTGGTTAAGTTCTGAACAGCCACGAAATGAGAGAACGTCCCGATCCGGGCCGGGGGTGGGGTGCCCACCGCGACCCTTCGCCACACCAGCCCTGCGGCCCGCTCCCCAGGAGCCCAGCAAACTGTTGCAGCCCCTTTGCCTCCGCTGTGGCCCAGTCTTCCTTTCTCCACTCAGCTTCAGGGTTGCAAAGGCAGAGACTTTCCGCAGCATCCACAGCAACAGGTGGCTGGAGGCATGGGCTCTTAAAGCGGGTCGCCACCCCATCTCTTTTTCCGCACCACACCACCGTACCCTCCCAAGGGCGGAGGACGTCCTCCTTGGTTGTCGCTGCGCACTGCTGGGTGTGTGTGGCGTCCTGCGGGGTGGCGGCTCCTGCAGACCAGGGCAGCGGCTTTCCAGCTTCCCTGAGCATTTTGTTGAGAAGGGGCGTGAGCCGGCTTGCTGACATGACATAAAAACGCCACCGTGATGGGGCGCTGGCTGGTTCGGTCAGGGGAGCATGCCACTCTTGATCTCAGGGTCCTGAGTTCAAGCCCCACGTTGGGTGTAGAGCTTGCTTAAAACAAAACAAAACAGATAGGAAGGGGAAAATGAAGGGGGGGAGGAATCGGAGGGCGAGGGGAACCATGAGAGACTATGGACTCTGAGAAACAAACTGAGGGTTCTAGAGGGGAGGGGGGTGGGGGGATGGGTTAGCCTGGTGATGGGTATTAAGGAGGGCACTGGGTGTTACACGTAAACAATGAATCATGGAACACTACGTCAAAAACCAATGATGTAATATATGGTGATTAACATAACATAATAAAATAAAATTAAAAAACAACAAAACAAAACAGAAAACCACTTTGCTTTGCAAATAGATTCATAAAACTGGAAGAGCTTGAGGGTTTTTTTGAGGGTCTTAGTATTTCTTTTTTGAGAATGCTGAACAGGTACCTCAAATAACAAAGTAACCTTCTACCCAAATAAGGCAATGGGATGAAACTGCGCAGCTGCCAAAGTAATTAAAAGATTTATAATAGGTAAATATCCGTGGTGTATTTCAGGCAAATGACCGCATATTGAACCATAATATACCATGGGATGCCCAGTACCTTTTCATCTTGACAGTGACAGTGGATCCCCCGTTAGGTGAGATGCTCAAGTCTACTTTGAGACCTGATGCCCCAGGTCTCCTCCCCCAGCGCTGAGGAAAATGTCAGAGGTCAAAGTTCAACTCCTTCATTTTACAGAATGGATAAACCGAGGCCCAGAGAGGTCTAATGTCAGTCTTGCCCAGGGCAGTTGAAGTGGGGTGTAAGCCAGACTTAACTGTTCTCTGGTCACCTCATGGGTGCAGCTTGGAGAGCACAGTGCCCCACCTGTGGGTAGTTCTATTCTCAGTCCCATTCTACAGATGAGGAAACTGAGGAGCAAGGAGGGTAAGGGACCAGATCAAGCACTTCTGCCCTACAGGCGTGGCTGCGTCTCTTCTGCCCCAGCTGCAGGTCTGAGAAAGTCCCTCTGTCCTTCCCATCATCGGACCAGGGTGGGTTCAAATTTGCTGTGACTCTGCTCAGACCTCCACCGCTGTGGAATTTAAAGGTGGACTTTCTCAAATTTGATGAAATGCCATGGAATTTTTTTTTTTCTCGTGGCTACCTCATCTCCATAAGTGAAAAACAGCTCCAGAGCAGGGCTTCTGCGAGAGGCAAGTTGGACCAATAGAAGTTCAGTAGGCAGGTATATGGGTCCTGGTATCGAGTGCAAAGCCACAATTCCTGGATCCCCTGAGATTTATTATTTTAAGAGGTAGAAGTTCACAGCTTCCTCCATGGAAGCCTCTTCATTTTCTTGGAGCCAAGCTTAAATGCCTCTAAAAACTTGGCCTGCCATTATCCTGTAGCTGTTAATTAAGCTTTGAAACTTTACATTATGTTTACGGTGCACTGTGTGAATTGCAAAATAAATTAGAACCCACAGCAAAGACACTGGAGTTTTCAATAAATGGAACAAAAATTAAGGAAGAGTCTCTTTTTAGCTAATACGCTCACTCTGCTATTTCTTCTAAGGGAGAAAATGGACTTTTGAAACGAACAAGTTAAAGTAAACAACTTTACTTCTGAAAAATAAAACAAAACACCAAAGGGTTCAAGTTTTCCCCTCGCATGGCAGTCTGCGTTGGGTAATACTACACAGACAAGGTAGTGAAGAAGAAAGGAGAAAATAAGTGGAATGCACGAGAAAGGCATTCCTTCGCCATATAAGAAACTAAAAACACAAGATGGTATGAATCATTCAAACAGTTAAAAGCAACAACAGAAAACAAAATTATAATATGGCTTAACGCAAGTTCTAAAGCAGATTCCAGGTAAATTTTTTATTTGCATTTGATTTTTTTAAGCAACCTGTACTAAATTCAGGAGGCCAAAAATAGATTTAAAAGAAAGGCGTAAACAAAACCCCACACAAGGATAAGCAGCTGATGTTTTGCAAACTTCTAGCCTAGAAGGCACTCTTAAAATACAGTCTTTAGAGCCTTATTACTCCATTTTTAAAATGAAATATGTATGCTTTCTTCCTTCTGTAAATTTCATTTTTGGGGGGAAAACAGGGTTTAAGAGGCCTTGAAGCCTCGCCCTGAAGATTATTGTTGTAAAATGGAGCAGATAAGTAAGCTTTTATGAACAGAAGAAGGAAAGCTTGTGTTTAAATCAGATAAAGTCATTAAAAAAAAAGAAAATCCTGCCAAATCATTCACAGCAATTTGATTCTTAAAATTTTAAGAGATTAAAGAGCAATCTTCAATCCAACTTCTTGAAATATTTGATAATTTGTTTTAAAATTAGGGATTTGACGTCTGCCTTCTCAAAACAGATGCAAAAATGATATATGTTTTAATCCATCCTGGCAGTCCAAGTATACTACTTCTCTGTGTCCTGTTATAAAAGCTGTGAGTTAATCTAAAAATAGCGAAGAAAAGAAAGACTAAAAAAAAGTTGAAGAAGAAGTGTCTCTTAAAACGTATCTGGTTTAAGTCTGCATTAATACAGTACGTTTCCTAGAATATCCTCCTATAAATGGCTGTTGACAATATAAATTACCTAATTCTGCCCCTCAAAAAATAATCCTATTGTGTTTCCTAGTTTTAAAAACCTGGCATTTCAAAACCTTTCTAAGAATTCTAAGCAATATGATACATATAATGAAGGGCCATTGAAGAAGAGGCTTAACATGCAGGCACTTGGCACTTTGCAGACCCTTGCCCCATGCACCCCCCACCAAAACCAGGAACATAATAGAGATGGAGATAGGCCCGAGCCCATGTGAGGCTTTGTGAAGAGCAAATAAAGAAATTACAATTCTTGCTTTTTCTTTCTTCTTTCCTTCTTAAATTTCTTCCTTTTTTTTCTTCTTTTCCTTTTTTTTTTTCTTTTTAAAAATTCCCATTTATTTGAGAGACGGTGTGATGGAAGTTGAAAAGACTCGCGTTTGGAGCCCAGAGTTTTGAAGCCTTGCACCAACTCTTGGTTCCTAGCTGGTCTAGATGCCAAATGTCACTGAAGACTTGGTTTCCTCAGATGAATGTGGATGTGGACATGGATATGGATGTAGATGTGGACATGGATATGGATGGGAGTATGGATGTGGATGTGGATGTGAATATGGACGTGGATGTGGACGTGGATGTGGACGTGGATGTGGACGTGGATGTGGCTGTGGACGTGGATGTGGACATGAACGTGCACATGGACGTGGATGTGGACATGGATGTGGATATGATAAAGTCAGAGGTATAAATAGACAAAAGTATAGAGTGAGATTTAGGTGTGGGTGTGAATACAGACAATGGAAAAACATGGCTATGGAAATATGGACATAGACGTAGGTACAGAAAAAAGACAAATACAGGCATGAAAAAGAGAGAGACATGGAAATAGAGATGTACATAGATAATGTGGTATTGATATTAGTGGTATTTAC